TTTTTATTGTCCTCACAGTCTCCTGATACCTGAAGCATCTTTCCTGGCAGTGACTCTTCCCAGCCACCACCAGCAGGCACAGAGGCTGGGACAGAATGTATTTATTTCACCCTCAGCTGTTGCAATTGATCCCTTCCACCTTCTGTTCCTCCTTTCTGCTTTTCTGACACCTTTGACTTCCCATTATTTGCCCTTAGAAGTACTCAGCTTTCTTTTTCCATATGCAAAGTGTCATGAAGGGAAAGGCTGTTCTGTGGATGATTGATTGATGATTTATGTTCATGGTTTACATTTTTGTTTGTTTTTTTTGGGGAGGGGTTAGTTCTGGGGTGGTTATGGAATGATGATGATGGTTGGTTATTGTTTTGGATACTAGGACATAGAGAGGAAGGTTAATTGAAAATGTATTGATGATAAGTGATTTGGATAATGTAGGGATATATGGTTTAATTGTTTAATAAAAAAATAAAAATGTCGAGATGAAAAGAAAATAGTATGTGTAAAATGGGATTTAAAGGGCTGGCTGGGGCTGCCTTTACAGCAGCTCAGCACTAGGTAGCACTGTCACTCCAGGAAAGCCAAGCCAGGCACATCAGCACTGGAATTGCTTTTCCTTTCCCAGACCAGAAATGACAGTGTTAGCAGAGCAAAATCCTCATTTGTAGAACTACTCACAGTACACCTACAATCCCAACACTCTCCTCACCTCTGATATACAACAGTGTGTCTTCCCATTTCCTTTTTTTAAAAAATTATAATTCAATTTATAATCTTAAATTTATAATTTTTAGATTATAAATTATAATCTAAAAAGAATCTATTATAAATTTATAATCTTGTATCTTCACATACACTGAGATTTTGCACTGATGCTTTATGTTTGTATCTATTTGATGTAAGAAAACATTATTAAAGATGACGATAGATACCTCCATAGAACAATTCCCTCAGTACTCAAATTATCTAGAGATCTGGAAAACAATCCACTCTACCTGCCACCATCCTAAAAAAATTCAATTCATCTGAGGGTGGTAATAACTAGCTGAACAGAATTATCTTTAGACAATATAAACATTAAACCTGAATTCAAGAGCACAAAAAAAAAGAAAAACACAAGTGCTGTTTCTCATGATCTTTGCAACTTATTAGTAATCTACTTTGTCAAGTGGTTCTGGATGGATGTGCACTGAATGTCACTGCTCCACCACCATTCTCAGGAGGCTTTGGTTTGGTGATGTGCACAGAAATCTCCTGAACTTTCCAACACTTTGGAATATGTAATTTTATTTATAACATGTAATTTTTTTTAGAATCAGCAGTGAGATTTTACTGCAGGTACATTATTTGCTTCTGAAAGCCCATCCTCTCCAGAAAGAGTGTGATAGCAGAGTGTATGCTGGAAGGAAGCACTTCTGCTAATTTCATCATGTTTGAGTTGTAAAAGGCAGCTGTAACAAAGGGGACGTTCCTGGAGCCCCAAAAATTTTCTTATATTCAATGTCTTGAGAATCTTAATGGTATTTTTTTTCCTAAAAGTGTTAATAAACACCTTTAGTGAAGCAGGGATGAGAATTAAAGAGTTTTCAGTGATTAAGCAACAGAAGGTATTTCAAAGGTCATACATGGGAAAAGGTAATTTCCTCCATTTCTAGGGCACGGGAAGGGAAAAATGCCAAATTTCCAACTTCAACTCTAAGGTTCCCCCATCCTGTCTTATGCCTGCCCAGTTATTCCCAAACTGTGACTCATTGACATCTCAATGAAAGCTGATGGCAAAGGTGGGAGCATTGATCATAAACTGAGGGAAGTTTTTAACTTCCCTTCCCAAGGTTTGTGCAAGGTACTCATACCTCAAGAATGATACTGACAAGAAAAAGGCAAAAACAAAACCCCAGGCCTTTTGGATGCAGAAAAGCAAAGTAATCTCTTCCTCCCTGTTAAATCCATTGATAGATTATAGACTTTTTCCACAACTTCAAACTCTTATGCCAGCAAAGATTCACTTTCTGAGAAAGATACACAGGATGATCACACTGTAACAAATTCAGGATATCAGAACCAAGAGCTGGTATGGGATCAGTTGCTTTGCAGATGCCCCAGCATGGAAGGTGGAGATGAAGCAGAGCTCCTCTACCAGCTGGGACATGTGCTCATGGTCTATTCCTCTTGTGAAAGAGCAAGGAGCTCCTTGGATTTCTGCCTCCTCTCTGGGAGCTCTGTCTCAGCCACTCCCACCTTCAAATTTTGACTGCAGCAGAAATTGAAACATGAGATACCCAGATTTCTGAGCTGTGTCTGCATGCTGCTTTAAAGCAAGGAGCTTGTTTAACATCAGAGGGGCTTGTTTAACTATGCCCCACACTTTGGGAATCCTTACCTTTAACCAGGCATTTGGGGGGTGGATATGTGTCATTTCAAGCCACTATCCAGGCACGAAGAGAACTCCCTAAGTTTTGATTCAGATTTAAATTTCCTTTACAATTGCAAAAAATAACTGTGAGTTCAACACACTTATTTCCCCTGAAGACAAAATGAAAATCTTCATCTGAGAAGGGTTCAGTTCCTCAGGAAAAATTTTGGTGAATATAGTCAACAGCTGAAGACAGGATATTCTACATCTTAAAGACTTAGTCAGATAGAACTGACTCTCCTTTCCTTTCCCTTACTATTTCTTTAGCTCTATCAGAAACCAGCTAAAAACCTGGGCATCTTGGCCTAATTTCAAAAAAAGCAGCTAGAATTTCACACCTTGCTATTTTCTCACCACTGCCATCTCCCCAAATCCTTCCTATTTCAGTCCATCAAGCTGCAACACTTCATCTTAGAGGACCAGAGCTGTGCATATCCAAGATCTGTTTGTGTGGTCCGTGCCTCCCACACACACTGTCCTCACACAGAAACCCCAAAACCTGCATGGAAAGAGCCCTTCCAGCCACTGCTGGGCTCTCTTCAGCAGCTCCTTTCAGCACTCCTCCTTGCAATGTGCCTTACATGAAACACATATTAAAGGAAGAATGAGGAAATAATTGAGTCTCCCTTTGCTATCAGAGCCTCCTGACCCTCCCAGCTGCAGAGGATTTTGTGCAGCACTGAGCACAAACAGGAGTTAAAACATTAATTGACAGCCAGGAGAAAATCCACTTTTGTACTTCAGGATATTGACCTCTCTGAAAATCTAGCACCACCTCTATAAAACTAATTGCTGTGGACAGTAACAATGCAGATTTTCAAACATTCTTGTTTTCCATTCTTGTCCTTCAAGTCACTAAAAATTGTTACTGCATTCTCCTCATTTGGTGCATTAACACTTCTGTGGTGCCACTTCTCAGGGTACCACTACAAAACAAAATCAAAAATCTAAGTATTACAGATGGTGGAACCAGTCTCATATTCTTCCTACAAAAGCATCCATTTTTTCCTGCAAAAGCATCCATTTTTTCCTTCCTACAAAACCATCCATTTTCACCATTTGTACTTGTGAAACATCATTTAGTCTCAAACAGGCCAGGAAATTTCCAGCCTTCTACAAGTCAGACTTGAAATTCAAGTGCAGAATTAGCACAAGAGCATTCTGCATCATTAGCTAAAATCAAACATCTTGTTGAAGTATTACTTCTAGATTTCTTGTAAGGAAAAGGGATGATGATTCAGAAAGCATAATTTCCAAAGGTACAGCTGATGTTGCTGCAAGAATACAAGTTCTGGAGAGCACAGATATGCATCAAATCCCACTAGAAAATTAGTCACTGTTTTTTCTCCTGTAAGTACATCCTTCTAAATTGGTCTGTGACATTGAATTGAGAGACCAGGGTTTGGAGTCTGCTATGAAATAGCAAGTACTGAATAAATTTTTTAGCACATTCTCAATAACTTCTCTCAATTGTGAGATTTCATTGCAGGGTTTCTATTAATCTCCTTCTAATATTCTCATGCAAGATTTAGCAAGTAAACACTGAATAAATGTGCTTTGGAACTGTATGAATAATTTCCTAGAGTACTACAAAACACAAAGGCACAAAGTATTTTGTGAGGCTAGTTTTGCTTTCCCAAACAAATTAAACCTCTCTGAATAGATGACGTAAATAATTCAGCATTATTCCATTTACTAAATCAGGAACAAGTGAGGCAGAATGTTCAATTTTAGGAGAGCAGTCTGTTTTGCAACAGAGAGATGATCCTAGTAATAAAGAATTCTCACAGAACACCTCCAATTCATGCATTGCATTTGTCTGAAAATGTTGGTCCTGTCAAAAGGAAAAAAATTTCTCACCTGTATTTTTCATTATTCATTGACTGATATTTTTAAATGCAGTAAAAATAAGTCAGAGAGGGCCTCCTAAGTCTTTTACTGCTTTGAAAACCTCCTGCTTTCCTCAAGTCATTTAACTGACACATCAGTTCCAGGAGGCAGTTTGTGAACAGAAGCTGCACAGCAGATACAAGTGTGTGCATGTCATAACCTTGCCCACAGGCCCCTAACGAAGAGAACCTTCTAAAAAATTAAGGATCAATAAAATCCTCCAAAGAAGACTGAAAAAGTGGAGGATGCTAAACAGTATAAAATGTCCTCTGGGTCATCAGGTGCTTGTACCCCAGGAGTGCAGTGACAGGAAAAGGTAAATGTCAAAAAGGAGAGTAGGTGCAAGTCAACAATAAACAAGGACAGCACCCAAAATACATCTGCTCTGATATGACCATCTGGCTTCAACAACCTCACAGAATGGACAGGATTGTATTGCCTATGAAAATAACAGAGGAACTCCAAAATGAAGGAGAATTTTGCAGGAGGAATGTGATGGTTAGCAAAATCCTACTGTGCCTCCTATGCTACAATATCATCACGTGCTTGCCTTTGCTACCAGGCGTAGCTTGTGTGGGTGGGGGTGCCTTCAAACATAAATTACCAATAAACACGCATTGTACTTAGTGTCAGGGAATTAACTGAGCTTTCTGGAATGAAAGCCTTTTGGCACAAAAATGCTAAACCAAGGTTGACCTACCTGAATGGGTCCCACTGACATCAGCAGGTTTTTCAGTTGGACATCAGTAGTTGATGAAGAAAGCCCTTCAACTGACACAATGCAGGGCTGAGGTTTGCACTCCACCACTCGCAGGTTCTGTTTATTTGGCATCAGGCGTCCTCGGCCCATCTGGCCTGCTACTCCTCTGCCTCTGCCGTGCATAATGACCTGCCAACAACAAAAGTAACAGTATTTTGATTTACTTACCCACTGACTCTGTGTGCTGTACTTGACAGAGGATATAAAAGTTGGCTATTTACTTGAAGACTCGATTAAAGTCTTGATTTAAAACAGCTTGTTGCTGTTTGCCACTTTGAAAGGCCACTTACTGACATATTCCTCCACTGCTTATGCAAACCTCTTTTAGCAGGATAACAAGTTATATATTGAGTTATTATACTGTATTCATCCTAGAAGCCTCAGCTCTAGCACAGATTGATCAATCCTCCACACAGTGGAGGATCTCAGACAAAAATATATAACCTAGTTTTCAACACTGATCACATCAGCAGCATGTGTTCAGCTTCCACATTTTGAGTATGGATAAAAAAACCCAACAGGTGATCCCTCTCCTTCTTCTATTCTTAACCCATAGTTAAATTTAATGTACTCACAAGATCAGCAAAGTGCTTCAAGCACCTTCAATCTCTACTGCTACCAACTCTGGGTTTTACTCGCATAAGGCTAAATAACTTTAAAATAACTTTGTTTTCAAAGTTCCTCTCCCCTGTACTCTGGAACAGGAAATGCATGGATTTAATTCTTGTAAATTAAATGCTGAACAGTGAGAAAGTGGAAAAATAACAATGAAACAGAGTAACAAACATTAAACAGAGTTAACACTTAACACCGAGTCAACATTCAACAGAGTTTCTTGATTCCTACCTGGAAAGCCTATGATGGGTAATAACTTTTCAAAGACTTCAACATCTGCAACAAAACTTTATCCTTATATGAAACAGGAAGATTATGGCCAACAGCTCAAAACCAAGAACTAACTTAAAAGCCAAAATGCCAGCTACCTTCAAGGACTGTGCCAGCTTGCAATGCAGAGAAGGCACACACTGCTGCCACCCTGACCTTCTCCTGCCTCCTACCAGTGCATGATCAGGGCAAAAATCAAGTTACAAGATCACCAACTGTTCTGAGTGATACCAACTTTGGGGATCCAACAAAGAGCATCCTGAAACAGCTACTGTGTGCTCCTACATAAGCAGGAAACTGCCAAAATGAAATCTTAAGCACAACTTCAAAAACCCACTTGGTTTTAAAGCTAAAAAGCACACTGGTTACCATCTCCTCCAGTAGCTGTCTCGGGACACATGCACTTCCCCAGGGAGTGCTGAGCTGGCCAGAACATCAGCAGATGAAGCAACCTGCAGGCACTGCCAGTCTGTGCTGGGTACAAACAAATCTCTCTAGATTAAAAGCTTTATATGCAATTATGCATCTCCTGGGTCATGCAGCCCTGCGCTAGCAACTGACAAACAGAATGCCGATTATTAATAGAGCAACACAGCTAGACAGTGAAACTTCTAGCACCAATATGCATCTGAAAATCACCTTTTTAGCTTGATGGATTCCCTGGATGTTTTTGACTCCTTGAGGAGCTGGTGAATGGATCTGTGCCTGCTGCTGCTGTTGGTGCTGCTGCATTCCCTTTGTCAATGTGACCTTCCGCACTGGCGGCTGTTTCGGCTCCGGGGGCTGCTGAGGCCGCTGGGGTTGGCCCTCGGGGTGAAAAAAGCCAGCATCCTCTCCCCCCTGCTGAAATCAACAACACAACAGCGGCTCAGGGTCCAGGCACTGCACACCCTTGCCCTGAGCAGGCTCCTGCCACATTCAGCTCGTTCAGAGAGTGTCCAGGGCTCTGCCTGCTAAAGCAAACTGGTGGCTGTGGCGTGCAAAGGCTCAGCCTGGAAACTGCACTTCAGCCTAAAATAAATCTGTGCCAGCTGAAGAACAGTTTGCTTTTTTCAGGTTTTATTATAATTACAATGGTCAATCATGTCTTTTCATGTTTTCACTTCTCTTTCCAAATCATTTTTCCTTCCAAGTTACATGTGAACTATGGTGTGTGTTATATTTTTATTTATTTTCTTTTTTAAAAATATAATTAGAGACATACACATTGCAGAAGGAGGAGCAAAGAACTGTGGAGGCTGGAAGAATCAGGAAAATGCTCTGCTCATCTTTAAGCCTCCAACCTCTTTTTAGTTAAAAAATTGGTACTTATTTTGAAGTGCATACTCCTTCTCCAACTTCTATACCAGCAGCTTTTTAAGCAGTCCTTCTCCTTGGACACTGTCTGTACTTGAACAGTTCCTCAAGGTGTTTTTTTGTTTGCCTTACAAAGCTCTTATATTTGTAACCATAAACACAGTGAAACACCATCTCAGTGTCTCTCTCATCCAAGGTAACTCTTGTCACAACATCTCTTGGTGCAATCAGGCACAGTAAAACCATGAGCTCAAAGCACTGAAATTATTCCTTCCCACTGCTTCTGCCCAACAGTTCACTTTTTTCCTAGAAACACATGATTCTTGAATTTGTGCCTGCCTGTCCAGATTAGAATAATCACTAAAAATTCCATGGAGCATGAACCAGCAGAGTTTGACAAAAGATCAGGTATTTTTGCATCCATGATATGCATCATATTATTGCATGGTTTCAACAGCAGTATCTATGCCTTGACAGGACTTCAACTTTAGACCTCAAATACTAATGAACAATTTAGCTGCGGGGGGAAGGCTTTGACTAACTCCCTAACCAAACTCTGGTAACCCCACGAAAGCTCTCAAATAGAATGCATATCTAAGGGAAAAAAATTAAAGTATTATGAAAGCACCTTTATTTACACAGGATTTTCTTTTCCCCTTCCCTTAAATATTCACAAAACTCCTTTTGCACCTAGAACACATCACAAACCAGAGGGTTTCATGCTAACTGGCACATTTCTTGAGGATAAGGACACAAAACACAAGGGTGCAGAAGGAACAGACCTATGGTCTAATAACAAGATTATTTTCATTGACAATACAAATTAGTACCTCTCCATTAAAGAAAAGCAAAAAAAATACCCAGTGAGGACGGGTTACTAAGCCTCAGCTGAGATTTGGTAAGAAATAGTCTGTGGTATGTGGGCCAGTCTCAGGTTCAGTAGTTCAGAATTTACACCTCAAAATCAAGGTCTCTGTATGATAAAAGTATATGCAGGCTACAACTTCACAAGAACTCAAGTATTTAAATCCCAGACAAATGAGCTTCAAACCTCCTTGCACTACAACTCAAAAGCACAATCTGTCACAGGGAAAATCCTAAAGCTCATCGTGGCATTTGTCCACAGTGTCCAAACCAAGAAAGCAACAGAAATGTGCATCTCTCTTTTCCACCTCCAATCACCAGGGTTTTTCTCTGCTGAACTGAATGGCACCAATTCTTCATGGAAAGTTTGTTATATAAAGCTTTGAGAGCAGCAATTAGTGAGAAATTACAAAGCTTTCCCTCAGTTTCTCTTCAATTTGTATTCAAAAATACAAAAGCAAGAGCACTCCTGAAAAACCCAAACATATGCACAAAACCTTACCAGCATTAAATCCTTGTTTTAATATTAGTTCTGATATCAACATCACCATAAGCTCTATTCCTTGATCAGATAATTTCTTTTATTCAACCCTACAACAGCTGGAAGATGATGAAACTAAAAGGAACAAAAAAAATTCTAAGAGGAATTTAAACATAATAACTGGGAGTTAAAATCTAATCTCTGCTAAATGCCTGCTGTGAGAACCATAAATATTTGCAACCATTTCTTTCTAAACCAAAAAAGGATCCCAGCACATCGGAAGAGCATCTGAGAGCAAAGCCCTCAGGTACAAAACACATCCAACATGCTCATTACTGGAACTTCAAAAGCAAACAATCATTTCACATAAAAGCCTAGGATGGCCAACAACCACCCAATATTTAACTACCAAGCTCAATTATCACCAAATAAAACTGTATAAAGTGAACAGAGTCAAAGGCATTAGCACACCACATTGGTTTGCACTGATGAAAAATCTGATGGGGTTTGCTCCCTGCTGGGGTCTCAAATGCCACCACCACTGGTCTTTGCTGCTACCAAGATGCTTCTGTGAGCCTGAAAAGGTGGAAAGCTCTGGACTTTTTAATGACTTGATCCATTTCAGAAGAAAACCTTCAGAAAATAATAAAGAAAAGGGATGGAACAAATTTTGCTTGTTCCTGCAAAAAGAATGAAAGGAAAGGCAACTGGATCAAGCCATTTTTTATTTTTTTTTACATTACTGCTCTGACCATTTACTGGTTTTGAGATGTCTTGAAGAGGGGAAGCAGAGACAAAACTGCAGCACTGCTTCTCCAGAGAGGTCTGTGAGTCAGACATGGTGCCCCAGGTCTAACAGAGCTGAGCAAGTCAGCAAAACATTAATTCCTGTTCCAGGTAGTCTGGCTTCAACTGAAGATAAAAACCTGGTGGTTTCCTTAAGAAATAAAAATGTGACTGCTAAGTGACATGTGGCAACAAGCAAAGCGACCCAGAAGAAGCATTTCAGCAGTAATTCCTTTTTCAGTGGTTAAAGGCATAACAGTGCAAGGACAAACACAATCCAAGCTAAAATGAACAACCATGTAGTGGTGAATTACTCTCACCACCACCACCATTCTTTACACTTCCATGCAAGACAACAAGCAGTGGCTTTTCCAGGTACAACAATGAAGAACCAAGTCAAGCAAAACACCTGAAAAAAAGCTTTTTAACTTCTGGACTTAAAGCTACAAAACCTCAGAACATTATGGACAGGTCACCTGCTCAGAGGAGTACACTGACATTTTGGAGGAAAGGACATACAGCTGTACAGATGACTGTACATACGCTGACTCCAGATGTTCCCTCATCACAGCAAATTACAGACAAGCAGGTAAGTCCACTAAAGCTGTACTGCAGCAGCTACCCCAAATCACCTAAATCACAGACACTAAATTGCTAGCATCTCTCCTACTTAAAATGTCTCAGGTCTAGCTCATCTTAAATCAATTTTTGCTTTTCCTAAAGACAATTTCTGTATTGTTATTTTTCATCAGCTTACATCACTGCCTTCCCCATATTTAAATATGCAGCAACAGTGGGATGTATTAAAGTTTTTGAGCCTTCTCATGTCAAAATACATTTTTTTTCCTAGAGTATTTCAAAATGTACAGGGCTGCACTAAATTTTTCAGAGATGCATCTATTCATCATCATGGCCTGTCTCACATAATTTGATGTACAAAATGCTGAGCCCAGGTAGAACACCTTATTTGACCACAGAAACCTGGGACAGACTGATACAAGCCCTGATTTTATGCTTCAAATTTCCTCCAAAGTCCTGAGCAGAAAATGAATTTTCATTCTTTGTCTGCAAATCAATGACAGAAGAATGCTTTCCTCTTATTGTTTACTACCTAATTTCTAGATTATAAATTTTGAAGTTTTACAAAGGTTCTGCCTTCCTAAGATCTTGCCAGGAAAAGAGTTCTCTTAAAAGAAACTTTTCTATTATTCAATTAAAGCTGGAGTGATGAAAATGCCTTTTTTTAAGTTGCAGGAGCTCTGTTCAGGGGAAAGTATAAAAAGTATCTTTCAAATTTCAAGTACTGAAGGATTGTGAGCAGCACCAAAACAAGGTAATTTCAAATACTGTGTATAAACAAAGCTCAAAAGATTGAGGTAAAAGAATTTGATTTACACGGTGAATGTTTTTCAAACCTCTGCTCTGGAAGAACCTGCAGTTTGACCTGAAACTAGACTAATAAAAAGAACTGATGCCATTCAGTGGCCATGATTTTAGAACCAATCCACTGATACCTATCAAGGCTGGTTTTCATCAGCCTCTCACTATACAGATCTATATATAGTCAGTGTTGCGTTTTGAGCAACTTAGAAAGAATTCAGTCAAATATGAGATCACAAATTCTAAAAGCAGAATTCTATGAAGGACTGCTTGAATTTAACAAGTTGGAACATCTGTCATAACCATTATGACAGTTTTATGATGAAGATGAAGTTTATTTGCCACCAACATTAGCAGGACAAATTTATTTATAACAAATGCTTTAAAATGTACTGATAAAAATGCCTATTGATACTGTCAGAGCTGCTTACAATTTGACAGATCAAATCTTATTTTCATTCTTAAACCCCATGAAGGAATGGTATCACCAACTTGCATTCTGTACTGAGCAAATTGATTAATCCCCCTCTATAGAAATCTCAACTCTTGATTACACCTATCAGACGTTAAGCAGCATTATTCTAGAGTGACAACACTTGACAAATTCCCAAACCATTTTTCTCAGCCTTTGTGGCCCTGCTAGCTTGTATTAACCCTGATGAAAAATTAATTTTCCTTATCTTCTGCTAAACCCCAAAATCCAAATCCGCCAAACTGGCAACTCTTTCTGTAAAGGTATTATGAAAACCTCTAAAAGATTAATTGCATGTCTTCAGGTGACATTAAATTAATTTCTGTACTCGTGACAGACATTTGATACTCCGTACTGAGAGGACAGATAACATTGTCAGGATACACAGAAGGACAGTGGTGCAGTGTCCCAGGGCAGCCTCTTATGAATTCTCCTTTCGATAAGGCCATACTTCACTGTCATTGGCACTGTTAGTGATCTTGCAGCCCACAGACCTCACTGCACAGGTTTCTATTAACCACCACAATGCTGGCTCTATCCATGTAATCTTTGTAAAGCTAATTC